GGCCTAAAGCTCACACACTTCCTCACTCATTCTCACCAGGACAAGGGCAAGGACAGGGGCACATGCATACATATGAATTTCCAGGAGGGAAAGGGAGCCGGGGGCAGTCAAAGTCAGGGGACCTGTCCCGACCCAGGGGAGGAGGGGCGGTTCCGTCCTGTCCCCCTGCTGCATGGAGGGGCTCAAGTGGCCAGGGAGCTTCTTGTATTGCCAAAATGCTCCTGTAGTGACACACCCCGAGGACAGGGGGTCACGCTGGCCAGGTTGCCAGCAGGGAAAGAGTTATATTTTTTGGCGGGGGAAAGAGCCCTGCCCTGCTTACAGGGCGGGCATGGGGTCCAGGGAGCTCCCCGGGGCCTTCAGGTGTGGAGAGAGGGACTCGCACCCTCCTTACAGGGTCGTGCCTCTCTCCAGGCAGCCAAGGAGCAACGTGGCAAAAGGCCAAAACTAGCAAAGCAAAGACCCGAGCCCTGCTTACAGGGAGGTCGCCCAGCACAAGGGCAGCAAGGCCACCGAGGGCCAGCCGTGCTCGTGTGTGACCACAGCCCTGCTGCTAGCAGGGTGGTCCCTTTGCCCAGAGTGCCCTTCTCTTTCCTCCTCTTCTGTCTTCCTCATCCTCTTCCTGCTCCTTCTTGACTCGCAGTTCCTCATGACTTCTATCTGCTGTAGGAGCTGCTTCAAAGCAAACCACGCATGGTTATGATCAAGACATCACCAGTAACCCAGCATGGCGGGGCCCCGTGAAGCACCGCCCCGGCCGCTCTCAAAAGGGATAAATGTGCTGCTGTTCCCCATCTCTCTTACTTCTTCTCTGGCCTCCCTCTCATAAACCGTCCCCTTTGAAAGCAGAAAAACCCTTGCTTAACTCACCAGCTGCAACTGCTGCTCTTCTGTCTTTCTCTAGGAGAAATCGTGTGCAGGATTTTATTTATTGTTTTTTTTTTTTTCTTTTTTAAGCTTGACTTGCAGAGCTCTAAGGGGAAAAAAAAAGGCTTAGATATTAAAATATATACAAGCATGATGCGTTTTATTTCTCCCGTTCCTTGCCATTGAAATCTGCTCCTTTAACCCAATGGCTTCTTAGTGTTAGGGAAAAAAAAGTCCCACAGCTAAGACCACTCACAAAACCACAAATAGTCTATGGCTTTCTCTCTCAAAGTACCTCATACTTTGCCCACTGAAAATCTTGCCTTGTCTCCTCAGTGTATTTCAACCTCTCCCTCCAAAGTGCCATCCATTTCGCCTCTGACGCCCCTCAACTATTCCCTCTAAAGTGTCCACCATTATGCCTCTGAGGTCCCTCAACTTTTCCATCTAAAGTCGCCTCCATTTTACCTCTGATGTCCCTCAATTTTTCCTTCCAAAGTTCCCTCCATTTTACCTCTGACTTTCNTCCCTCAACTTTTCCATCTAAAGTCGCCTCCATTTTACCTCTGATGTCCCTCAATTTTTCCTTCCAAAGTTCCCTCCATTTTACCTCTGACTTTCCTCAACTTTCCCTCCAAAGTGCCCGCCATTTTGCCTCTGAGGTCCCTCAACTCTTCCCTCTAACGTTCCCTCCATTTTGCTTCTGAGGTCCCTCCATTTTTCCCTCCARAGTGTCCACCATTTTACCTCTGAAGTCCCTCAACTTTTCCTTCTAAAGTTCCCTCCATTTTACCTCTGAGTTTCCTCAACTTTTCCCTCCAAMATGCCCATTTTGCCCCTGAGCTCCCTCCATTTTTCTCTCCAAAATGCCCACCATTTTACCTGAGGTCACTCAAATTTTCCCTCTAAAGCGTCCACCATTTTGCCTCTGACGTCCCTCAACCTTTCCCTCTAAAGCGTCCACCATTTTGCCTCTGACGTCCCTCAAC